AAGAAGAACCACCAGAAGCAGGAGCAAAGGGAAGAGAAATGGGAAAGCCCGTCCCCGTGCCGTGGGGCTGCACAAGCCTCCCCTGAGCTGGAGCGTGGGGGACTCCCCTGGATGATCCCGGCCATGGAGAGGCACAGATCCCTCACGGGACGCTTGGAAAATGAAACAGGACTTTCCTTGGAGGACCCTGACAAGGTTCAGCTGGTTCAGACTCTCCTAAAGCAACCCTCTTTATCTGGGTGCGCTCCTTCACCTCCTGTTAGCTCACACGCCAGTTTTCACAGCTAAAATTCTGGGTCCATTTAGACCTTCAAGGTTTGTGTTATCGGTTTGGAGAGTGGGCAAGCTGAAACAAATATGCTGAGAAAAAAAAAGAAAAAAAGAAAAAAAGATGGTTTATTGCGTTAAGCAAAAAAAAATAATCTATGTCTGGCTAATGTGATGGTTCAGGATGCAGGCAGCAGAGAAGGGAGCGTGGTGCTCCCTCCCCAAGGATGCTCTCAGCCAGGAGCACGGGAGGCAGGGAGAGGAGCTGGCTTGTTACTCACAAGGGAAGGTCCACCTGGGGAAGGGGAAGCAACTCCTGGGTGAAAATCTACCTTCTGAAAACAAATATTCCTGCTAGTAGGGAGTGCTGAAAAACGGTATTTTCAGCAGCCCTGCTGCAAGGAGGCAGAGGTGCAGCCTGAGGAAGCGAAAAGCCGAGGGAGTCTGATGCCTCAGATCTGGAGTTTCTGAAAGACAAGTCCCATTTTCAAAGCTGAGGCTTGTGGAGGCTGGTGTTTCGCTGAAAACCAGCTCATATGGACTACACGGGCATTTCAGAAAATGTTGTGCTAACTGCTCTGCCGGTAGGAACCCCTACCCCCTGATCATGTGGTGTGACCACAGCCTTGTCAGAGCTTTTTGTGGTAAAGGGGGAAGAAGCCCATACTTTTTGAGTGCATACATTTTCTAGTCACCCTAATAGAGAACGATTTTGGTTTGCAGAAATAAAACCCCCACGATGGATCACTCGTGTTAAAATAAGCCACAACCTATCTGTAAAAAAAAAAGAGATGGAGAAGGACTGTCTACGGAGTGATCAGCTCCGCACTAACCAGAGGTCAACCTAAGGGTGCTTAGGCCTTGGCTTAACCACAAAATTCATCACCAGGGATGAATTTTAACCTCTGACACTAGTCCTCAACGGTGCTGCTCATTTTGTGGTTATAACCAAAGAAATTTCAATTAAACTTCCAGGGCAGAAAAAAAAATACACTTGATATTCGCCGTCTCCTGGCTGCCAAATTTTGCCTCTGGTGATTTTTACTTTTTTTTTTCCCCCCCAGAATAGGAAATTCACAGAAATAAATAAATTTGAAAGATGTGAAATCTGTGTGTTCTAGTACAAGGAAATTAATGAAGATGTTTCTGAAACTGCAGCTTAGAAAGCGTCCCCAAATTGCTTTAGTTTGGAAAAAATGTATTCGAAATAATAAAAAAAAAATGTTACAAAATATTTATAATACAATTATAAACTGAAATCCAGCCAACTTTTATTGTTGAGAAAACCGGAAAGGAAATCATCTTAAAAAATGCTATTCTTCTTTTCTGGTGGCTGCTATTATTTCACTCTTCTTATTGTTGTTGCTGCTGTTATTACGCCCTTTGCTGAGCTCCGAAGCTGAGCTCCTGAGAGTTTAACGGGCGTGATTCATTCACCCACTGCCCCACGAGGTGCCCGCTCCTGCCTGAGGTCCTCAGATCTGGTTCCACGCAGTTTTCTCAACGCCAATCAAAACCCAAACTTCTTGAGAGGGTTTGATACATTCAAGTCCCTCACAGTGATCCGACAGCACAACTGCATAAGGCACCACGATTGCTACATCCTCTCGGTTCCCTATGCTCTGTCATTCTCTCAAACGACTGTCCTGGTAATTAGCTGCATTGAACAATGGCATTGTCTTCTGAAATGGCAAGGGGACACCCTGAGCAACAGTGCCTAATGCTTCGAGAAGCAGGCAGGAGAGCAGCACTGCCTGCTTTATGATTGTTGTTACTACCTATGTAGGCTACCATCTGGTGAGCATCGCTGTCTTGGGGGGACAATGAATCTTGGGGTGAAGTAAATAATGACAGGACCAGAGGAAACGGTCTGAAGTTGAGGCAGGGGAGGTTTGGATTAGATATGAGGAAGAATTACTTTCCTGAGAGAGTGGTCAGGCACTGGAACAGCCTGCCCAGGGAGGTGGTGAAGTCACCAAACCTGGAGGTACTTAAGAAACATGTAGACGTGGCACTTCAGGGCATGCTCTAGTGCCCAAGGTTGTTGGGTTGTGTCTGTTTGTGGGGTTTGTGTGTGAGAGGGGTATTTTTCATTGGTGTTTGGGGTTTGTTTTTTTTTTTTGTGGTTGGACTCGATGAGTTGGGGGTGTCCCTGCTGACTGCGGGGAGGTCGGACTAGATGACCTTTGGAGGTTCCTTCCAGCCTGGGCAATTCTATGATTCTATGATTCTATGATCTCAGAGGTCCCTTCCAACCATGAAGATTCTGTGATTCTGTGATAACAACAGGGTGTGAGCTTCCCCCAGCCTCCGTGCTGCCTGAAAGGTCCCCGGAGCCGGGGGAATGGCTCCTGTTGGCTGCAGAGGACTGGGGGTCAGCCCCCCGATACAGAAGCGAGGGTGGAAAGCAGCCGTGGGGGGGTCGATTTTAGAGAAGGCGTTAAAAGGCGCAAAAAGCAGCAGGTAGGAATGAAACGGGGCTGATGGAAGCTGCTCTCGAGACCGCTCGACCCTTGCAGCTCTGCGTTAGTACGAAACCACCTTCCCTTGGGAGAGGAGGAGGCCAAGGGAGGAAAAAACTGAGAACAAAGAGGGAAGAGGAGAGACAGAGCGAGAGACAAAGGCAGGAAGGGAACAGACACTCCGGGAGCAGCCAGGGGACCCTGGAAACCAGCGGGGTGGGAGTGGGAAAGGGCAGCCGTGCAGCAGCAGCACTGGGGACCACAAGGAGGGGATGTGGGAAGTGGAAACAATATCAGAAAAGGAAAATAGGACAATGAAATGCAGCAGGGTAGAAAAGAAAAGAGCCTGGGGGACTAGGGTTGGGCAGAAGTTGGCGGAGAAGAAACTGGAGCTGGGCGGCTGATTGGAGATAGCAGGCAGGAGCGTGGAATAAGTGAAGAGGGCACAAAAGGGGCTAAAGGAAACAAAAAAGTCATGATAAGGCTCCGGAAGGAACTGGGTCATGGCGAACAAAAAAAAAAAAAAAATAGCCAAAATGCTAAGTACGGAGCAGAAAGGATGGGAGTGGCAAAGGGGACCAGAAGTAACAAAAGTGAAGCATCAGAAAAGTGAAGTCAAAGGGATAGAAGGAGGCGGGGGGGGACATCCCAGAGCAGAAAGAAGATGATGAAAAAGGAGGCGAATGGTCAGGAGGGCAGCCGTGAAGCCAGGGGTTAGACAGGAGGAGTGAAAGCACAATAAATAAAAGGGGATGAAAAAAAAAAGAAACGGGACGGAGCGATGTGGGAATTGGTTTTGCAGAACACTTGCCTCATTTCTGCACTGTCACTGATACTCTTTTGTAGCCCTGTTTCTTCACAGTTCATCTGCCAGCACCTCGCAGTACATCTATCCTACTAAAAAGAAGCCAAGGCAATGACGGGCCCCATTCTCTAATCCAAGCTGCACCATGTGTCCCACATCCACGTGGTCACATCCAAACGGCCGTCTAGGGACAGCCCCTGGCACAAGCCCTGACTTGGAACAGGCCTGGGCACTGGCTGGGAAAGTGCTAGCTGGCATGGGTGAAAACCACGGCGGGGAGCTTGCCAAGCCATGTCTGGAGGGTTGCAGGGCAGCACGTGAGCCCCTGCCTTGGAGTTATCTTCTTCCATAGTGCAGACTCAGCCTGGGTCACTTGGAACCTGAGCTGCTCTTTTGATCTGAATGTCCCCTTCATGGTCCTCATGTCCCCTAGCATCTCTCCCCAAGTGCTGGGGAGCACGGTGGGGCTGAGCTTGCCACAGGCAAACTGGGACCTCCCAGGATCGATGCCTGCTCCATGTGCCCTGGCTGGGTCTGCCTCATCCCACTGATGTCTGTGTTGCACTGGAAACGGTGGCAAAAGCCCAGGCATGAGTTGCCCTTTCGTGGTGGAACATGAGAAGGGGGAAGAAAAAGACAAAGAAGTCCAAGAAGAACTGCATGACCCATGAAAAACAGCTGCTGATGAAGGAGCATGGTCGGAGATGTCAGATTCAACCTGGGGTGGAAGCCAAATTCCCTTTATTTGCTATGGGCTGAGCTTTTGTTGCTAAACACGTATGACCCTCAGGCTGCAGCATCTCCTGGAATGGGAAGAAAATCCACCAGAGGCAGAGCTGGAGCAGATGGGAGAAGTAGGAAGAAGTGGAGAATAGGGGACAGCAGGGGAGCTCAGCACAGGGCAAAGGAAAGAGATGTGGGGAAGTGGACAAGGGTGGCTCGTGGCTGCCAGCAGCAGCAGTGCCATGGTTCAGGCAGAAGATGAGGAGGTCAGGGAGAAGCAAGGAGGGAACAGGACAGGTAGGGTCAAGCAAGCTCGTTGCCATGCTTTGTCCATGGCTGTGAACCACGGTAGGGGGTTGGATAAAACCATTTGGAGAGCTGACACAAGTCTTATCTTGGGAGATGCACCTCTGTAAAGCCAGATGGAAAGGGCTGGATACGTCCTCTTGCAGAAAACAGCTCTGCTGCTGTCTTCTGCGTTACCAGTGCAATGAAGGTCTGTGCCCCACTTGGGCTCTTTGCTCCTGTGCTGTCCCCTCTCTCTGATGGGCCTGCCCCACCAGCTGGACCCTGGTGCATCCCATGGCGAGACCCCCACTTTCTGCCAAATTCTCCTTCTTGAGAGACCCCTGCTTTGTGCCAAGCTCTGTGTCAAGCTGGCACGGAGCAATGGGAATATGGAGACCCTTGAAGCAAGATCATGAACGTCACTGGAGCCTGTTCACACCTGACACTCTGCACTCATGCTGTCTCTGTTCAGGATTTACTCCATCGGGGAGAAACTGGGCATCAACACCAGCTTTTTTCAGTCGTCCAAATCCACCAACACCTCTGCGCTTGTGAGACCCCACCTGGAGCACTGTGTCCAGCTTTGGAGTCCTCAACACAGGAAGGACATGGACCTGTTGGAACAGGTCCAGCAGAGGGCCACAAAAATGATCAGAGGGATGGAGCACCTCCTCTGTGAAGGCAAACTGAGGGAATTGGGGTTGTTCAGCCTGGAGAAGAGAAGGCTCCAGGGAGACCTCATAGCAGCCTTCCAGTATCTGAAGGGAGCTACAGGAGAGATGGGAGGGACTCTTTGTCAGGAAGTGCAGTGACAGGACAAGGGGGAACGGTTTTAAATTGGAAGAGGGGAGATGTAGATGAGATATTAGGAAGAAATTCTTTGCTGTGAGGGCGGTGAGGCACTGGAACAGGTTGCCCAGAGAAGCCCCTGTGGATGCCCCATCCCTGGAGGGGTTCAAGGCCAGGCTGGATGGGGCTTGGAGCAACCTGCTCTGGTGGGAGGTGTCCCTGCCCAGGGCAGGGGAGTTGGAACTGGATGATCTCTAAGGTCCCTTCCAACCCAGACCATTCCATGATTCTGTGAAACCAGAGCACCCGCAGCATCTCACCGCACCGGAGCATCGGTGGAGGAGACGCGGTACCCGAAGGGTGGCAGCCGGCCGTGCGGTGTCTCTCCCCGGCCCTCGGTCCCGCTTCCCCGCGTGGAGTCCGCGGCGAGGAGGGA